GTGCAGTTGGTAGAGCGGCTTGTCCACTAACCGTAGGGTTGGCGGTTCGATTCCCGGCCCAGATGACTCCGATGGCAAGCTAGCACCTTGCATGGCAGCTCTGCTACCATTGGTGTGTGTGAATGAGACTCAGTGTAAAGTGCTTTGGATAAAAGTGCTATATAAGTGCACATTTACATAAAGTGCCTGTCTTGTAAACAGGAGATCCTGGGTTCAAATCCCAGCAGTGCCTCGTGTATGACTCTTTATTTCTAGTGCAATGTCTTCAATCCCTTTGTTTCAAAGAAGAGAGAACACCAGCAAGCCTTGATTTGGTCTTTGTCGTTGGGTGGTGGCTTCATGGCTTGACTCAATTAAAACCTCTTGGGTTCAGATCCTGCTATATTTGTTTGCTTTCAGACGTGTTTTTGCATGTAAATTTCAACTGCTATCAACAAGAACTCCTTTTAGTTGCTTCAAAACGAATCCTGGTGAAAAGTGAGATACAATGCAGGACGGGCTAAAATTGCCCATAAAGCATAGAAGAGATCCAGAGTGCGAATTTCTTCAGTGCCTGATAAGAGTCTTCTGTTTGTGCAACTGCTATGTCTTTCTTACAGCCTGAGATGACACACCACAGAAGCAAGCAAAGATTGGTTCATGGGGGGCTCTGGATGGTAAAGTCTAGCCTTGACATTGGTGCGATTCAATGCTTGTGGGTTAAGGTTCGTGCTAATGTGGAAATTTCAAGTGTTGTCAACATGAAAACACCTGTTTAGTAAACAAGAACAGGAAAGCGCTATGCCCTCACTGAATTTGGAAGAGCCTGAGATGAAAAACATCCATCCATCCATCCATCTTCAACTGCTTATCCGTAATCGGGTCGCGGGGGTAGCAGCTCCAGCAAGAGACCCCAAACTTCCCTTTCCCGAGCCACATTTACCAGCTCTGACTGGGGGATCCCGTAGGCGGTTCCCAGGCCAGTGTGGAAATATAATCTCTCCACCTAGTCCTGGGTCTTCCCCGAGGTCTCCTCCCAGCTGGACGTGCCTGGAACACCTCCCTAGGGAGACGCCCTGGGGCATCCTTACCAGGTGCCCGAACCACCTCAACTGGCTCCTTTCAACACAAAGGGCAAGCGGCTCTACTCTGAGTTCCTCTCGGATAGCCGAGCTTCTCACCCTATCTCTAAGGGAGAGGCCAGCCACCCTCCTGAGAAAACCCATTTCGGCCGCTTGCACCCGCTGATCTTGTTCTTTCGGTCACTACCCAACCTTCATGACCATAGGTGAGTGTAGAACAAAATTGTCCGGTAGATCGAGAGTTTTGCCTTCCGACTCAACTCTCTTTTCGTCACAACGGTGCGATTAGCGTGATTCAACACCGCCCGCTTCCTCCGATTCTCGGCCAATCTCCCACTCCATGTCCCTCACTCGTGAACAAGACCCCGAGGTACTTGAACTCCTTCACTTGGGTATGTTCTCATTCCCCTACCCGAATAGGCACTCCATCGGTTTCCTGCTGAGAACCATGGCCTCAGATTTGGAGGTGTAATCTCATCCCAGCCGCTTGCATTCGGCTGCAAACTGATCCAGCAAGTGCTGGAGGTCACAGACCGATAGTGTCATCAGGACTACATCATCCGCAAAAGCAGCGATGAGATCCTGAGGTCACCAAACCGCAACCCCTCCCCACCACGACTGCGCCTCGATATCCTGTCCATGAATATCACAAACAGGATTGGTGACAAAGCCCAGCCCTGGCGGAGACCAACCCCCACCTGGAACAAGTCTGACTTCTTACCGAGCATACGGACACAACTCTCACTTTGGATGTACAGTAATTGGATAGCCCTAAGAAGGGAACCCTTCACCCCATACTCCCTCAGCACCTCCCCAGTAGACCCCTGGGGACATGGTCACACGCCTTCTCCAGATCCACAAAACACATGTAGACTGGATGGGCATACTCCCAGGCCCCCCTCAAGATCCTTGCGTGAGTAAAGAGCTGGTCCGTTGTTCCACGACCAGGACGGAATCCGCATTGTTCCTCCTCAATCTGAGGTTCGATTATCGGCCGAACCCTCCGTTCCAGTACCCTTGGAGTAGACTTTACCAGGGATGCTGAGAAGTGTGATACCCCTATAATTACGGCACACTTTCTGGTCCCCTTTTTACACAGGGGAACCACCACCCCGGTCTGCCACTCCTTGGGCACTGTCCCGGACTTCCACGCAATGTTAAAGAGGCGTGTCATCCAAGACATCCCTCCACACCCAGAGCTTTCAGCATTTCTGGACGAATCTCATCAATCCCCGGGGGCTTTGCCACTGTGTAGCTGATTGACCACCTCAGCAACCTCCACCACGGAAATTGGCGATGATCCCCACAGCAGCGTGTCCACCTCTGCCTCTACCATAGAGGGTGTGTTAGTCGGATTCAGGAGTTCCTCAAAGTGTTCCTTCCACCCGGCTATATTACTCTCAGTTAAGGTCAACAGTCTCCCCTCCTTACTGTATACAGCTTGGATGGTTCCCCGCCCTTCCCCCCTTCCTGAGGTGGCGGATGGTTTTCCAGAAACACCTTGGTGCCGACCGAAAATCCTTCTCCATGTCTCTCTCCAAACTTCTCCCACACCCACTGCTTTGCTTCTCCACAGCAGAAGCTGCAGCCCTTCTGGCCTGTCGGTACCTTGCAACTGCCTCCAGAGTCCCCCTGGGATAATACATCCAGGCAGGCCTTCTTCAGTCGGACGGCTTCCTGACCATCGGTGTCCACCATGGTGTTCTAGGGTTACCGCCCTTGAGGCACCTAAGACTTTGAGACCACAGCTCTCCGCCGCAGCTCCAGCAATGGAAGCTTTGAACATTGCCCACCGGATTCAATGCCCCAACCTCCACAGGGATGTCAGAGAAGTTCCGCTGGAGGTGTGAGTTGAAGATCTCATGGACAGGGGCCTCCTCCAGACGTTCCCAGTTCACCCGCACTACCCGTTTGGGCTTTCCAGGTCTGTCCAGAGTCTTCCCCCACCCCTTGATCCAACTCACCACCAGATGGTGATCAGTTGACAGCTCCGCCCCTCTCTTCTACCCGAGTGTCCAGAACATGCGGCCTCAGATCAGATGATACGATACGAAATCGATCATAGACCTGCGGCCTAGGGTGCTCTGGTACCAAGTACACTTATGAGCCTCCTTATGTTCGAACATGGTATTCGTTATAGACAATCCATGACTAGCACAGAAGTCCAATAACAAATACCCTACGGGTTAAGATCAGGGAGGCCGTTCCTCCCAATCACGCCTTTCAGGTATCTCCATCATCCCGTGCGCGGGGGGGTGAAGTCCCCCAGCAGAACTATGGAGTCCCTTACTGGTGCCCCATACAGGACTCTATTCAGGGTCTCCAAAAGAGGCGCCGAATACTCTGAACTGGTGTTCGTGCATATGCACATACAACAGTCAGGGTTTCCCCCACAACCCGCAGGCGTAAGGAGGTGACCCTCTCGTTCACCGGTGTAAACTCCAACGCAACTGCGCTCAACCAGGGACTTGTGAGTATCCCCACCCCCCCCGCGGTCTCGCACCATGGTCAACTCCAGAGTAGAATAGAGTCCATCCCTATCCAGGAGTACAGTTCCAGACCCGAGACTGTGCGTAGATGTAAGCCCCACCAGATGTAGCTGGTAGCGCTCCACCTCCCGCACAAGTTCCAGTTCCTTCCCCCACACAGAGGTGAGTTCCACGTCCCCAGAGCCAGCCTCTGCCGCCCAAGTCTGGTCCGTCGAGGCCTCTGACCTTCACTGCCACCCATGTAACAGGCCCCCCCCCCACGGGTTTCACCCCACGAGTGGTGGGCCCATAAAGGATGAGGGGGTGCCACGTTTCGGTTTTCCGGCTTTGCCCGGCTGGGCCTGCGTGGAAACCCAGCCACCAGGGCCCCGCAGATCGGGCCCTCCCTCTGGGCCTGGCTCCAGACGGGGGGCCCGGGCTTCCACCGGGCAGGGTAACTCCTCCTCTCTTTATTTTCTTCATGAGGGGTTTTTTTGAACCATTCTTAGTCTGGCGCCTCCCCTGAGACCACTTTGCCTTGGGAGGCCCTACCAGGAGCACAAGGCTCCAGACAACACAGCCCTCAGGTTCATAGGGACACACAAACCTCTCCACCCGGATAAGGTGATGGTTCACGGAGAGGATGAAAAACCCCATGAAAAATATATGCTACTTATAACCTGGGCTCTGTGGTGCAATGGAGTTGGACTTCGAGGTTCCTCCCTGGAACTACTCAAAGGTTCTTGGTTTAAGTTCCTCCAGAGTCATTTGCTAGCACATGGGTGTTGCTTGTTAGTTTTAGTAGAGGGTATCCTGTTGAATATGGAAATTCCCTACTCTCCATCTTAGATGGAACACTTTGTTGGCCCCAGGTGAAAACAACGTCATCAAGTTCCCCATGTTTCTACTCATTGGTCTTCAAAGGAGTATTCCAGGAATAGGGTTGGTGACCAATGGTCTGGGTTATCTTTTTTGAATCTGACTCGACAATGTGCATTTCGTGGCTGGTTGAGCAGATGCCTTCATATGTCTTCTATGTCTGCCGTTGCGCCATACAGCTTAGCTTGATTAAGAGTCAACAATCAGTTTAACATTACTGATCTTGAACACTATTGGTGCTGTGGTGTAGTTGGTTTAAAGTGCCTGTCTAGCAAACAGGAGATCCTGTGTACAAATCCCAGCGGTGCCTGATGTAGGAGCACACTTTTCTTTCAAGACCAATGCCTTCCATCCCTTTGTTACAGAAAGGAGTAAGACCGCAGACCAGCCGGGATTGTTGAGTATGCTATGCCCTCACTCAATTTGGAAGAATCTGAGATGAAATACCTTTGCTTCTTAACACCTTTCCTCCTTGTTAACTGGGCTCTGTGGTGCAATGGATAGCGCGTTACTTCTATTTTCAACATTGGAGCTATTCAAGGTTGTGGGTTCAAGTCCCTCCATAGTCATTTGCAGAGAGGTATGCTGTTTTTTTTTTATACGAGATTGGGTATTTTGTTGAATGTGACAATTCCCTACTCTCCATCTTAGGTGGAATGCTTTGTTGGCCCCTGTTGAAACCAATGTCATCAGGGTCCCCATGTTTCTACTCATTTGGACAAATTGACACTGGAATTGTGCTAAAATTAAATACCTAGAAAATACCCATGACATGGGTTCATGCCATAATTTGTGCTCACACATCCAAACCCCAAACTAGCATTCTTCTTACCGAAGATTACCAACATGTGCTGAGTACCCACACAGCAATTATGTCAACAGAATGTTGCAGATATGTTTGTAAAGACTATGGCTGGAGATCAGATAGTATTTTCTCTTTGGTAAGTCACTTTGCTTAAAGGCGTCTGCTTAATGAATAAACGTAAATGTAATATTTGATCTGCTGTGGCTTGTGTGCTGTTTGTGGATAAATATCTTGACCTATGTTTGTTGTTTATCAGAGGTTGAGTATCATAGCATTCCTCAAACCCGCGGTAGGAGCAGCATTTTGTCACAAGCAACATATCTGCATATGCCAGATCAGCATCTGTGTAGGATGCCTATGTCTAGGCTCCTTTAGATTGAGCTAAGGTCTTCAAAGCAGGATCTCCTAGAACAGTGTTGGTGACCACTGGTCTGGGCTGTCTTTTCTGAATCTGACACCACAGAATGTGCATTTCGTGGCTGGTTGAGCAGATGCCTTAATGTGTCTTCTATGTCTGCATGCCGTTGGCATACAGCTTAGTGTGATTAAGAGTCAACAATCAGTTAAACAACACTGAATTTAAACACTGTGGTGCTGTGGCTTAGTTGGTTAAAGTTCCTGTCTAGTAAACAGGAGATCCTGGGTTCAAATCCCAGCAGTGCCTGATGCAGGAGCCTTTTTTTCTTTCAAGACCAATGCCTTCCATCCCATTGTTACAGAAAGGAGTAAACACCAGCAAGCGCAGATTGGTGAATGCTATGACCTCACTCAATTTGGAAGAATCTGAGAGGAAACACCTTTGCTACTTAAAACCTTTGCTCGTTGTTATCTCGGCTCTGTGGCGCAATGGACAGCGCATTGGACTTCTTGGTTCAACATTGGAGCTATTCAAAGGTTGTGTGTTCAAGTCCCTCCAGAGTCATTTGCTTTCAGGTGGAGGGGTTTGTGTTTTTTTCTATACAAGACAGGGTATTTTGTTGAATATGGCAATTCCCTACTCTCCATCTTAGATGGAATGCTTTGTTGGCCCCAACTTCATCAGGGTCCCCATGTTTCTACTCATTTGGACAAATTGACACTGAAACTGTGCTAAATTTAAATACCTAGAAAATACCCATGACATGGGTTCATGCCATAATTTCATGCCATAATTTGTGCTCACACATCCAAATCCCCAAACTAGCATTCTTCTTGCCCAAGATTACCAACATGTGCTGAGTACCCTCAGAGCAGTTATGTCAACAGAATGTTGCTGATATGTTTGTAAAGACTATGGCTGGAGATCAGATAGTACATTGCTTGTATTTTCTCTTTGGTAAGTCGCTTTCGAAAAAAGCGTCTGCTTAATGAATAAACGTAAACGTAATATTTGATCTTTATATTTGACGGCTTGTGTGCTGTTTGTGGATAAATATCTTGACCTATGTTTGTAGTTTATTAAAGGTTGAGTATCATAGCATTCCTCAAACCCGCGGTAGGAGCAGCATTTTGTCACAAGCAACATACCTGCATATGCCAGATCAGCATCTGTGTAGGATGCCTATGTCTAGACTATTTTAGATGGATCTAGGGTCTTCAAAAGAAGCTCTCCAGGAACAGGGTTGGTGACCACTGGTCTAGGCTGGTGAAGTATATGCCTTAACAGGCTATCTAAGTATACATGGCATTTGAGTAACGCGTAGCTTGATTAAGAGTCAACATTCTATGCGGGTGGAAGGGGCCATAGCGCTGTGGCACTGTGGCTTAGTTGAATAAAGCACCTATACTCAGCACCTCAACTATCTACACTACGGGAACTTTTCAGTAATTGCAACCTTTAGAATCTGGGTGGAAATGGAGATACCATGCCAGGATGCTAAATGGGCTGTCAAGCAAAGGAGAAATCCAGGGTTTGAATCTCTTCAGTGCCTGTTACAAGACTCTTTTGTTTCTACATGAGCTATGCCTTTCTTATAGCCTGAGATGAAACATAGCACAAGCAAGCCAATATGGGTTCTGTGGCACACTTGATGGTGAATTCCAGGAGGGGCATTGATGCCATTAAAAGATAGGACCTGCCAGAGTTAATTTCTTCAACAGAAAAAAAAAAACACTTGTTTTAACAAACAAAAAAAGGAAAGCACTATAACAAAGAGAAAGTTGAACTTTGGTCCTATCTATTATGTTGTCCAGTTTCAACTTAACCCTATTGTTTTCTGTTTAACTACCTTGTTCGAATTTTCCTTTACAACTAGTAGCCTTTTGACCATCATGTCACTTGCAATTTGTTACCAGCACAACTCTTATTCATGAGGCTCACTCTGAAGTCTTCTCTTGGTTAAAAGAATGCCTTGCTTGTCATGGTATGAGAATAATTTGAATAGCATCAGCATATATAATTAAACTTGTCTTTTCTGCACAAGGAGACCAAATGACTATCAAACAAGTTAGTTCCACTCACAAACAGACGTGCAATCTTGGCTGCTCTGTATTGACCGCAAGAAGCAGCTTTATTTCACCGTTGCCACTGATTCTGAAACATCATCCATGAACAAGTATGCCTTGCACCATGATGCGGCTATGGATTTCCTGCTGGTAGCGGCGTCTGACCTCGAGATCAGAAGGTTGTGTGTTCAAATCACATCTGGGTCATTGAGTGTCCTCTCTCTTCACACAGACTGCTGATTTTCTGCACAGTCTAATACGGATACTGTCATATGGACTCAAATCTCTGTGATGACCATCCACGTCTTTGTCAACCTCATGCTAAAAGGTGACAAAGCTCAGCTGGCAACTCTTTCACCTAAGAATCATCAGTAACTTAGTCTTCTGACACATATAATGACACAAAGGCCTCGTACAAGTGGTAAATGTGTGAAGTTACCCAAAAGAAAGTTGAACCATGGTTCTATCACATAGGCAGTTGAGTCTCTAAGTTGGCGCTTCAGGTATAAGTTGTCCACGCTTCACTCTCACGCACTGAGGTGAGATCTGCCATTTGAGCTTGAAAATCTCCCCTTAAAGTCAAGGGAAGGGGAAGCCAGTCAGGTTATGCCGTGAAAGGGCTTGTGCCTTGTCTTCTGTAGAAACTCTTGCCCAGATGTCAGACTCTAGTCGCATAAGTCACAGCCCACCACTTGTCTCTGAGTTCCAATGTGTCTTGATCAGTGCAACCATGAACAAGTATGCCTTGCACCATGATGCGCTATGGATTTCCTGCTGTAGCGTCTCTGACTCCAGATCAGAAGGTTTTGTGTTCAAATCACATCTGGGTCATTGAGTGTGCTCTTGTTCACACAGACTGTTGATTTTCTGCACAGTCTAATACCGGATACTATCATATGGACTCGAATCTCTGTGATGACCATCCACGTCTTTGTCAACCTCATGCTAAGAGGACAAAGTTCAGCTAGCAATCCTTTCAACTAAGAATCACTCAGTAACTTAGCAACCTGCTGTATGTTTCTTAGTTTACAGATTGTGCTTGCTGAACAAAATATTCCTGAAGATTGTACTTTTGTTGTTTTTCACTGGCCCTCTCAGACAACTTGGAGGGTTAAACAAGCAGGTATTACAGCACCCAAACAGGGACTTGAACCCCTTTACGATTCATGTGATACACAAGGGTGTGTGTGTGTGTGTGTGTGTGTGTGTGTGTGTGTGTACATATTACTTTTGTTCATTAACCCAGTAATAGTCACATCTGTAAATAGTGCACGGTTAAGAGTGGTTAGTAGGAAGTCTGCGCCATTTATTTTGATCCTTCTTTTCTCCTGTTTTTGGGTTGCAGCGGAGTGAGGAAAGACGGTGTATTTTTGTTTTCTTTTCTTGTAGTGTAGCTCATTTTCTTTGGTAAGTTATAGGGTATTTTTGTTTATTGTTTTGGCCTGGCCGGCTTCTGATGATTAAAACCACTGTGTATATAAAAGGTGCTCCGTTTGAAGAATAAAAAAAACAAAAAAAACACAATCTTGGTCTCGCCAAACCTTTTCTTTTCTTTTTTTTTTTTTTTTTTGTTGCGCCGCCCCCCGACCCGGGGTTCATAACCGAATATATATATGTTCCTTTAAGAAGATAACAGCTCTGAGTCTTCTCCTATAATGCCTAATGAGGTTGGAGAATACACGGTGAGGGGATCTCCCAGATCCTTCACATTTTGAGGTTCATACTGGTGGACTCTCCTCTTCAATTCACCCTACAGGTTTTCTATGGGGTTCAGGTCAGGGGACTGGGATGTTCATGGCAGGATCTTGATTTTGTTGTCAGTAAACTATTTTGGTTTGACAGGAACTTCTTAATTATTGCCGATGGTGGAAATGAGCATTTTTAATGCTTGTGCTATTTTCTTATAGACACTCAATATATTTAAAATAATAAACAGAGGAAGACATTTCTGTAACCCATCATTCATAACAGCCTTTAAATCTGTTTGCTTGTCCATCAGTAATAAAAAAAATTATACATACAAAAATTAATTTCCAGCCCTGCTACACATTTGACGTTTCATGCTAACTGCAATTCTACCT